TTGATGCAATAATAAAGATAGGTTTATATTGCTAAAAATAACGATTTTGTAATAATATTTTAATAATGTGTTTGAACTGAAAATTATTTCAAAATAAAATCAGACTTTTTATCATTTTATCTTTTTTTCAATCTCCCGATCACTACAAAATGAATACAAGATTATATTTTTTAACAACAATCTTCTCCAAATATTTCTTATTAAAGTGGAAGAATGAGTAACAAGCCGTTGGCGTTTGCCAAAAACATCTGTGATATAAACGTCCAAAAACGCAATCTATATAAACCAATATTTTATGTATGTATTTCTTACTTAATGTACAAATGCTGGAATGTTTAGTTCAGGACGAATTTTTTTATGTTATAAACTGATACAATTAATTCTTATTTCAGGGTTGCTTCATTATGGATTAAATATAATACAAAACAAATAAAATATAAATATTAATATATCAATATACAAACCAGTTTAAAGTCAGATTTTTTGAAGTCATGGAAATCAGGGGGAAAAGACTATAATCTCGTTCTTCTTTTTTTACAGAAGGGTCACGTGATATTTATGTGAAGGCCTCAGCTTCTATAAATACAGAAGTGAATAAACTAACTAGCACCTTTGTATCCTGATTTGTATACATAAATGTATTTTCTATGAATCGACTTATATTTAATTGGTTAAAAATACAAGTACTTTTGTTACGGCAATAAATGTACAAAACAATACTTTAAAGCTAAATGGACGAGTAAGGAATCAAGATTCAAGGAAATACGCTCCTTGTACTATAAAAGTTACTTCCCTTCGCACAAAACAATACCCCCTTTAATGATTTAACTGATAAGTTAAAAGCATTTATTGCTGATTTCATTTTAGTACCGTTCGACTTTCTCAAATCATAACTTAGGATACATTTTACATGTGTAGTGGTTCAAATTGTCTGAAAACGCAAGACCGAAATACGAACAAATCTCAGAATAATCCATTTTAAATGTAAGGCAACGACCCATTCATGAGGTAGTAAACAAACTCGCTATACCTCTACTTCCGGTATACCTCGGTATTCATTCTTCTCCGGTATATTCTTCGACATTCGGAACACCTTGCCTCGATTACGGTTCCTTTCATCGACAGATGACCGAATCGGTTGAGGAGTTCCGAGTGATTCCTTGAGTGTGTAAAAGTGCCTTCCGGTATATTCTTCGTATGTTTGAAAGTGAACTTGTTTTGTTTTATGGATACTGGTGAAACTGTTATTGTTTCATAGGTACTGGTTACCTATGGAAGGGCTACTATCCAGTCTCGTTACAAGAAGCCATGACCAGGGGGTCCTCACTTAGGCCTTATGACCTCCCAATAAACTTGAAGATGAGGCGAATTCTAGGTGAATACATGCAACGAAACTATCAGAACAAGTTCTACGCCAAGTGACAGAACCTTGTTCCTGTGTTGAAGAGAGCTTATAACGACGCTCTCAATGACGTCGATGTCCTCGTTATGCCAACTCTTTCAAAAACGGCCGGGAGCCTGCCAACTGCTAAAAGTACAGCTAAAGGTAACACTTACTTCATGGTTAAGCTATATACCTCAAAATATTTTGCACAATTAACCTTAGGAATTATTCTATACTTTAACCTAAACCCTATATATTGATTTTGTTATTGCAAATAGCATAAAAAAACATATGTAAGTAAATATCTACCAACCAACAATATTTTATGTGCCTTTATTTTTTGTGAAACCCGTGTTAGAATACGACCGAGAATTAAGGTTTATAACGTTTTTTATTTAAACATAAAGGAAGACGCATACCAGAGGGAAACATGACTTAATGTTACCTTGATTAAGTACAGGGAGGTCAACCCACAACAGCAAATCTCCGTACAAATTAATGATCTATAATGTATATGCATATATTACGTCTTTTGAATGTTAACTATAAGTGTACATCTTATTGTAAAGAAGAAGAGAGATATTATCGAGCAGAACGTGTATGTAGAACACCGTTCATGTTTTTAGAGAGACTGGAGGCGTGTATGGAAATATCTAATAATCTGGCCTCCTTCGACGCCACTGGTCATCCTGTGCTGCCCCTAAACGCTGGTGTCTCTGACCAAGATAGACTTCCCGTCGGGATACAGATTGTCGGCCGACTACATGACGACCCTGGTATACTTCAAATGGCCTACGCAATCGAACGAAATTAGAACAGCATTTGCTTTTTAGATAATCTGATATTTTTTAACCTAAATTAGCCAAAAATGATAGAAGTATTCATTTAAATGCAACTTGTGTTGAAGTAATGTTAATACATGAAACATAAATGACTATAGAGAAGTACGAAAATGCTACGGTATGGTTTAAGAAAACCACGAAATATAATCCCAACGAAATTTTAAACACACGAAATATAAACTAAACGAAAATATGAAATAAACTATTACTTTAATTACAAACCATGCTTTATCTACATTTAGACACAAATCATGATAAACGGTGTAATTATCGTCACAGGCACAAGCGTTATATTTGTAACACAGTGACGTCGCTCTTTGTTTGTAAATTATAGAGCATGACGGATTTGACGGATTTGACCGATACCCATCGAGTGAGTTCATCTCGCCCGGTCTTACCTGTACCTCGCAAGCCATGCGGTGAAATCAATTTGTATAGAAACAAAAACAAAAAACACACTAAATATTCCCTTTTTAAAAATAATCAAATGTTCTTTTCAACGAAAAGGGTGTTTAGTGTAAATAAAGCAGTCGTCGTCAGTTGTTTACGACAATAATGTTAACTTTGGATCGATTCCCGGCACCATACCGTCAGGACGGCATGCCCCGATTTTGAAACTTTTTCAACGGAGACACGGGGAAATAAACTTCTAATGAAATAGACAAACTATTGCTTAAATTATTTAAACACACATCTTTCTTCTGGAGTAATATTTACATTGAAATTGGCATGATTTTCTCACACGATGTGTCAAGGTAACCGTGAATATTTATTAAATGCATGCTCGTTTTCTTATTGATGTTATAAAATGTCGGTAGGCCTTATTATTTCCATTGTTTATAGCTATTAACTATCACACATGTTTGTTTAGACGAAATTGTATGACCATCGAGCGATGGTCGATCTATTGTTTCCCACTGACTGGGGTGAAGCTAGGTGTGATTTCACCTGGAATGGACAGGTGATCACCTCGGGCGATGTACGGTTTCCCGGACATACTGTCTTATAGTCCAATGGTCAACAGAAAAAAATACTGGGTTTGAAAATATTGATTCCACGAAATATTATCCCAACGAATTTTTCCCAAAACAAAAACAACGAAATTTAACCCCAACGATAATATATGCTTTTACAGTATACAGCAAGCCAATTATTGTCCTGGAATCGGAAAAAGATGCGTCAATAAGGCACCTATTCTTTATTACCTGTTATTATTTTATAAAAAGGTAAGGAAATAATATAAATCCCTATGTGCTTTTTGAATATTTTATTCTAAAAATTCAGTGAAAGTGATGACAAATGAGCAGGTAGGTTGGAGAGTCTGATCGAAATTTCATTAAATCCTATTTTGGTTTGATGTGGATGCAAGAATAAGTTAACATTTTTACAAAATATATATATACACAGGATAAACTAATGGTTTTGTTTCAGCTTCGCCTATTCTTTTCGAAAACCAATACATAAGTTAAAAAACATTCTTCAAGGAGGCTTATGTAGATGTCAAGAATTAAATTTACTGGTGCTAGGTTAGGGCATACGAAGCTCAAGAAGGTAATATCAGACGACATATGTAATGTATTCCCTTGTTTTAAGATTACTTTTGTAGCACAGCGAAGAACAATCTTGTGACCATAATATTACGTTGCTTGTAATGTAAAAGGGTAAGGAGATCGCTTACCTTAAAATAAGTACAAAATCGTTCTGTAGCCATCTTCTTACTGAAGGCTGGCCGACAGCGTAGCTATAACAATGTTGGAATTGGTGAGTAGTTCGTGAGATCGTCTTTAACGCTTGTTGTCAAAACCTCAAGAGACATTTCCAGTTTTAATTACAGGAACTCGGCAGCGTTTGTGTGTTTTACTTCTATTTTAAAAACTCTGATTTAAACTTAATCAATCTGAAATCTTAATAAAAAATCTGACCAATGTTTAGCATTCTGGAAACCTCTTTTGATAAGGGAGAACTTTTGTTTATTGTTTTCCCAATGTGCTGATGAGTTTTCCATATGTATACGTGATAATGGTTTTCTCTACATCAATCTGTGGTAGTTAAACTATTTCTCTTCCGTTTTTATTTCCAGGAACTGATATTTTTGTACCAATCACGATTGAGGGATCCCATGCTTGTGGAGCACACGGACACGGTATAAACCTCAGCCAAACATTAGTATTTCATTTATATTAGAATTCAGTTCCTAACATAAACACATACATTTCTAATGATTATTTTCTAAAAGAACAAATCAAGGATCATTCATTGAAGGAGTTAAAATTGAAAGAACAAAGTACAGAGAGAGGCCAACTTTTTACAAGCTTAATGTCTTAACATGTGGTTATCGAGTACGGTGCATAAAATTCGATTTCAAAATAATTCTTAAATCATAATTAAGGATGAATTTTACATGTGTAGTAGTTCCAATTGTCTGAAGCCATTAGACCGAAAATATGAACAAATATCAGAATAATCGGTTTCAAATGTAAGGCAACGACCCATTCATGCAGCTAATCAAGTTTGACAATCAGCATGAGGTAGCAAACAAACTCGCTAAACTTCTACTTCCGGTATACTTCGGTATTCATTCTTCTTCCGGTATATTCCTCGAGTGTTTAAAAGTGCCTTCCGGTATATTATTCGTATGTTTGAAAGTGAACTTGTTTTGTTTTATAGGTACTGGGTGAAACTGTTATTGTTTTATAGGTACTGGTTACCTATGGAAGGGCTACTATCCAGTCTCGTTACAAGAGGCCATGACAAGAGGGTCCTCACTTAGACCTTACGACCTCCCAATAAACTTGAAGATGAGGCGAATTCTAGGTGAACACATGCGACGAAACTATCAGAACAAGTTCTACGCCAGGTAACAGAACCTCGTTCCTGTGTTGAAGAAAGCTTACGACGACGCTCTCAAGGACGTCGATGTCCTCATTATGCCAACTCTTTCAAAAACGGCCGGGAACCTGCCAACTGCTAAAAGTACAGCTAAAGGTAACACTTACTTCATGGTTAAGCTATATACCTCCAAAATATATTGCACAAATAACCTTAGCAAGAATTCTTTACTTTATATCCTATATAGTGTTTTTTCGGTATTGCAAATAACAAAAAAAAAAAATGTAAATATCTACTAACTTGTGAATCAATACTGAAAATTTCTTATATTTCATGTGCCTTTATTTTCGCGTAAAATCGTATTAAACTAAAATAATTGATCTAATGTATACTCGTCTTTTAATGTTAATTATACATGTACATCATGTTATAAAGAAAGATAGATATCATAGAGCAGAACTCTTGCACATAACGACATTCATGTTTTTAGAGAGACTGGAGGCGTGTATGGAAATATCTAATAATCTTGCCTCCTTCGACGCCACTGGTCATCCTGCGCTCTCCCTAAACGCTGGTTTCTCTGACCAAGATGGACTTCCCGTAGGAATACAGATTGTCGGCCGACTTAACGACGACCTTGGTGTACTTCAAATGGCCTATGCAATCGAACGAAATTAGAATAGCATTTGCTATTTAGATAATCTGTATTTTTGTTACCTAAATTAGCTAAAATTGATAGAAGTATTCATTTAAATGCAACTTGTGTTGAAGTAATGTTAAAACATGAAACATACATGACTATACAGAAGTTCGAAAATGCTACGGTATGGTTTAGTTGTATTGAAAGAAGTACCTTTGATATCAAACCCAAAATATGTGCAAATAGGTCACTGGTTGGCTACACTTTAGTGCCATTATACTATGAAGTGGTATACAGCAGGCCAATTATTGTCCTGGAATCTAAAAGAGATGCGTAAATAGGGAACCTATTAGTTATTACATTTTATGTACCTGTCATTTTTTATAAAAAGTTAAGGAAATAATATAAATCCTTATGTGCGTTTTTTTTATTCTTATTATTATTAAGTGAAAGTAATGCCAATTGGGCAGATAAGTTGGAGTGTCTAATCGAAATTTTATTAACTCCTGTTTTGGTTTTAGAAGGCACGATAGTCTAGTGGTAGGACGCCGGGCTCGTTACCGAAGGGTTGCGGGTTCGAGTCACGACACGGCACTGTGTTGTATCTTTGAGCAAGATACTTAACTCCGCTTGTTCCAGTCTACTCAGCTGTAAATGAGTACGTGGTTGGGCAGAGCTAGAATTGTACAATGCTAGCTGTGAGCCCCGAAATGTCAACACCGGCTGTATGCTCCCCCAGGGAGTTGAGAAAGATATTGGCTGGTTGCAAAAGCCCTATAACCACGGATGATAAATTGTGAACCGCCTTGAGACGTTCTACGAACTAGGTTGTGATAAAGCGGTATATAAGAACCTCGAATTAGTATTATTATTTTATGTGGATGCGAAAATAAGTTAACATTTTCACAAAATACGTATGTACAAAGGAAAAACTAATGGCTTTGTTTTAGCTTCTCCTGTACTTTTCGAAAACCAATAAATAAGTAAAAAATACTTGTTTTAAGATTACTGTTGTAGCACAGCGAAGAACAATCTTGTGACCATAATATTACGTTGCTTGTGATGTAAAAGGGTAAGGAGAGCTCTTACCTTAAAATAAGTACAAATTCGTTCTGTAGCCATCTTCTTACTGAAGGCTGGCCGACAGCGTAGCTATAACAATGTTGGGATTGGTGAGTATTTCGTGGGATCGTCTATAACGCTTGAGAAATTTGGTGAAGATTTTGGAACTTCCACAATGGTCATCGCGTTCGACTACTGGTTCAACATATATGGTGAACCGGCTCGGTATTACGACATGTCAAGGAGATATAATTACGTGCATGGTATGAGTTTCTACGTGCTTTAATTGTGATGTAATTGTCCGAGTAACCGTGTTACGAACGAGATACATAAGTGAGAGGTCAGACTGGCCATTTGTGTAAAAGGTCATATAGTGTGGCTATAACTTGTTTGTACGTTGAGGTAGAACTATTTGGTAATACATACCACTAATATTTTGTCCTGTAAGGTTGTAAATGCACAAAAGGAAGACTAGTTATAAATGCATACACATTTTCTTCATAACAGTAATCTTCACGAAAATATATGCGAATGTTGTAGGGGATACGCGTACGGTGCACATGATATTCAATTTTACAAAATTTGTTCTGCAAGATACAATGCACCTCATAAACATGAATTGTGTATTGTGAACTCTAATTGCGACCTCAATAAATCCTGACAATATGGTTTAACAAATGCCATAGAAAAAGCCAATATCATTTGTATCACAATGGCACTGGACTTGCAATGCTACAGGGACTACTACAGGTACATGGTACTAACTTATACATTGTCCACAGGGACTAGTGCAAGTACATGGTACTAACTTATACATTGTCCACAGGGACTAGTGCAAGTACATGGTACTAACTTATACATTGTCCACAGGGACTAGTGCAAGTACATGGTACTAACTTATACATTGTCCACAGGGACTAGTGCAAGTACATGGTACTAACTTATACATTGTCCACAGGGACTAGTGCAAGTACATGGTACTAACTTATACATTGTCCACAGGGACTAGTGCAAGTACATGGTACTAACTTATACATTGTCCACAGGGACTAGTGCAAGTACATGGTACTAACTTATACATTGTCCACAGGGACTAGTGCAAGTACATGGTACTAACTTATACATTGTCCACAGGGACTAGTGCAAGTACATGGTACTAACTTATACATTGTCCACAGGGACTAGTGCAAGTACATGGTACTAACTTATACATTGTCCACAGGGACTAGTGCAAGTACATGGTACTAACTTATACATTGTCCACAGGGACTAGTGCAAGTACATGGTACTAACTTATACATTGTCCACAGGGACTAGTGCAAGTACATGGTACTAACTTATACATTGTCCACAGGGACTAGTGCAAGTACATGGTACTAACTTATACATTGTCCACAGGGACTAGTGCAAGTACATGGTACTAACTTATACATTGTCCACAGGGACTAGTGCAAGTACATGGTACTAACTTATACATTGTCCACAGGGACTAGTGCAAGTACATGGTACTAACTTATACATTGTCCACAGGGACTAGTGCAAGTACATGGTACTAACTTATACATTGTCCACAGGGACTAGTGCAAGTACATGGTACTAACTTATACATTGTCCACAGGGACTACTACAAGTACATGGTACTAACTTATACATTGTCTACAGGGACTACTACAAGTACATGGTACTAACTTATACATTGTCTACAGGGACTACTACAAGTACATGGTACTAACTTATACATTGCCCCGATATATAATTTGGTACCTTGTACTTATTATTCTCCCTGTAGCAGTACAGGTCCAGTGTTAATGTGATACAAATGGCAATTCAACAGTACAATGTAATGAAACAGAGGGAGCGTAGCAATGAAGGCAAATGCGCGATTCCTCCCTTTTCCTACTGGAAGTAAAAGACGTCCACCATATCTGTGTGTAGAATTTATATGTTTATGTTGGGTATAACGGTCTCCCAAAAGAAAAGGCCATATGAAGACTGGTTGTGAAGGCATAGCTGCAATTAATACTAGTATATACCAGTGTTCTCGGGTACGACGTACACTGTATTTGTAAAACTATGTTCATGTTGAAACCCTCTTCAGTACTCAAAGTCATATCCTAGCTCAAGTTGGAAAACACTTTTTTAATCAACAGGTTATTTTTAAGCAAGTAACTTTCACCAATGTTATTGTTTTACGCTTTGAACTCACTGAAAGGCCTCTGTGATGGACAAGAAAGTTTGAGCGCGAAGACAGGTTCGTGAATACGACGTGTTATGATTTGTTTGCCACTTGTGCTATTTTTTTTCTGCTTAAAGTAACTTAACAAAGGATTCAGAGTGCACCAGATTTAATCATTACTTAAGATGAAGATACATTAATAAGCAAATTACAAGTATGTACAGTCAATCACTTCTTCTCACAGCTGATCAATATATATATAATATTTAATAGCTTGAATAAGTACGTGCATCAAGTCAAAAGTTATCACCAGAAAAATGAGCTTGCTTGTAATGTAATTGTCATCACCGTGATTAAAACACATACATATTAAAACTAAACGCTATAGAGTATTGAAAAAATAAAAAACAGTTAACAGATGGCTTAATGCTTACATTATTTATGAAAACTCTACATAATAAATAGCTTTCCTGGCCACCGGCATCTAAACGATACAGGTTAGAAGTCAATAATTTATATTATGTTCTACTTTTTGTGTACACTCCTCTTGTGACAATCTTATTCAAGGTCCGTCAAAGTTATAACAATTCCAGTTTTTTACACAATTATTAAATGATTAAATATAACCACACAAACCGGAAGTGACCCGCAGTCAAACTCAACCACTTCCAAGGGCATGTTTGCCAGAGGAAAAGTGTGACATAAATTACCGGTATAACACATGAATATTTGATGACACATGTAAATTTTCTAAGGCATATGATATAAAGAATATTATATAACTCAACCTAATGGCATTTGTCTAGAAAAACATAAAATTGATATACAATGTTGAGTACACTGTAACAGCACGACGCAGGGCTTTTACAATGAATATATTATATAAAAAACACATTATTTGTATGTTCTAATAAACTTTACATGGACTGAATATGTAATGTTTAAATCGGTCAAACTTTGTTACAATATGTCAATTACAATAAACAGTGAGTACGAACTTAATTCACAAACAGCAAATTTGAATGTGCATATGCTATATACAACACAACTGCTACGAATAATAATTATTCTAATTAAATATCCAGCCGATAGTATTACACTTTATCAAAAACCAATAGTCGTGTTTCGCAGAGCTATCTTGAAGTAATTATGACTCTCTAGCGTTAATACATTTCTATCTTATCTTTCGGGTTGTCTCCCTTATTGTGATGGCTCGACAGACGATAGTGTCAAGAAGCTTGCCTAAGAAAAAGAAAGAAATGCTTATAATAGCATGCAGTGCTATGCAAACAGGAAGTACATCTACAATAAACTAAAATCTGCATATCTTATGAACCGAAAAAACTACAATCCATGCTCGAAAAAACCCATCTGATACATCATTTCATTATAACAAGCTTAGGTGTATAACTGAAAAATTACTGTTATTAAACTGCCTGAACGTTGTGTCTTCATGTATTATCTTCCTTATACTGAGTCCCTTACTTGTTTAATGACAGTGTACTGTTCAGATATATGAAAGTAAATCGTGCTGTTATTTTCAAATCTAAATAAGACTGTGAACTAGTATGTTAGATATGTATTGATCTAAAAATGTAATAAATAAGAAAACTATTTATCTACATAAAAAAAAGTAAATGAAACAAAAAACAAAAGTCAAAAAAATGGAAAACATGACCATTGGTGAAAAAAGTCAGCTAGTTATACATACGTTGATAGTTTAAATGTTAAATGTTATTGAAGAATTAATATGTATATCAGTTTCCTCCGGATTTATGTGACGGATCTCCAAAACATCAATTCTTCTTCTTTGGCACACCCTCTCCCTTTTTTGCCCTTCTGTAAAACAACGGACCAACGTTCATCAATAATTCACTCTTTACAAATTTTTACAGTAACATGTGTTAACATAGACAAAACACATTAGCGATTAAGTTATACATTTCATAAATTATCTCTTTTTGTGAAATGCTGTGTTATTTCTCTTATTGAAGAAAAAATGAATCCGTCAAAAGCACAAATTAACAAAGATCAACTACTCTACTTACAGTGTTGGCATGGCAGTCAGATATCTGTAAGAAAAAAATCAACTTCTCTTATTGAAGAAAAAATGAAT